AGGTACCACAATCAACCTGGACTCAGAAGCAAAAGAAGTGAGTATTGAATAGAAAATGGAGTTACCACTTGCTAGTAGTGGTGAGGGGCATTTAGGCTGAGTCTAAAGAAGATCAATCCACGTAGTCTAGGTCAAGTACACTCTGGAAAAAGACAGGTAAGATTGAGCTGGGAGGGAACACCTAGTTCACAGAACGCCAGTGATTTTAGTCTTGGGGAGTCATGAAAATCTTACTTTAAGCTGAACTGGGCCACACTCATATTTTCTTTTAAAAAGCTTACTCTATGGCAGGCTGGTGTGGCTCAGTTAGTTGGAGCATCATCCCATACACAGGAAGAGCTTACTCTGTGGTACTGAGGGGTTGGGATGATAGAGACTGGGGAAACTGCCATAATGCAGGAGGGGAAAACAGACCCTGGGTCAAATCAGGCCAAGCATAAAGGGAGAGAAAAGAACAGGTTCAAGCATGAACAAAGTTCAGTTAGCAGTATCTGAGAATCAACTGCCTATAGAGGATGGAAGTAAAGCTGAGTCAGCCAAAAAAAAGCACACCACATAAGTAGGAACTAAATTAGGGAAAGCGGTAGAAATACAGAAAAATGGTTCAGTATTTGACAATTCTACTCAGATGTCTAATGTCAGCAGACCAAAGACCACATCTGTCTAGATCTTCTATGAAAGAGCCTAACCAGAGGTTTGCAAATCCTGCTTTCCATGCCTTATGACAGGGAAAAGTCTAATTATAACTGAAACAAGTAATGCAAAACTCCCCTCCATTGTATATGAAAATTAGAAAGATTTTCTATGGATCTCAAGTTAAAAACTGACCTACGCAAATGGCTCGTTTGTGCACAAACACAACTGGTACACTTCAGCTATACTGAAGTATAATCTCAAATGTAACAATTCTAAACATGTTCTCTCCCAGCTGGAAGTAATTGGAGGATACTTTAAATTAGACACTCAGAGTTAAAGGAGTGGTAAAGCTACTTATGTGAAACAGACCAAAGATGCTGTTGCCTCTAGTGTGTCAGTACCTGAGCCACATACCCACACACTTACAGGCATGTCCCAGAGACACACAGTTTCTCATCTCAGAAAACCCACAGGGAAGCGTACCTCAGAAAGGACATCTAGAAGGCAGTCTCGACTGTTTATGTGCACAAAGAGTGTCAGAGCCAGGATAATCTAATTTATAGTTATAGTTTTCTCATATTAAAGGAGGGCATCATAATAACGCTAATATCTATCCAGGAAATGTGCTATTAGAATTAGATAATACTTAGAAAGCACTTGGTTAAGTTTGAGCACTTAGTACAAGCTCATTAAAGGTAATTCATGTTGTACGGCACTCTCACTCATTTGAAAAATGAGCACATCTTTTACCATAAATTAGCTACTGTGGTCTGCCCTTCATGATCACTGGGACTGCTATGACAAATGGGTGCTATGGTTATACATCATGATGGGCACACTCTTTTACAGCCTTATCACTTTTGCTCAGCATTGGGATGTAGTTTCTAGTTAAGTGTATTATATCACTTACATAACCAGGTTATTTTTTTTTCCAGTTAAAATCAAGAGGGTCACAGTAGCAGAGAAGACAAGTGGAAAAATGCATGACAGCTACTAGTAAATGCCACACTGGCAGAACTTGAATTCCATGCAGTCAACAGTGGTCCCACAAATGCCTTATTGAACCTGACACTGGGCCAGTCTAATCGCAGTTGTAAAAGTAGGAGCGAAAGTTATAGGACTTCAGTTACAGTTACCTAAAGGTCCAAATACAGAGTCAACAAAACTTAATATAATAAATTTAGGGATAGTTTTAGTGAGCAGCAGCACAAAGCTTCATGCAGAGTAATGAAAGAATCTAGCTGTCATGTTCTTTGAATAAATGTACATTTTTTAAAAAATATTGAAACCATGTTTTAAAACAAAACAGAAAATTCTTTATTTTCTGAGTATTTTTAAAATCTGAATAATTTAATGTTATTAATGTTAAGAGACAAATTATATGAATAACTGATTAACTTATTAAGTGCTTTCAGGCTGGTTGAAAAATAATGAACTATTATAAAAAATGCATAAATGAAATTGCTGTTTGAGTTAGGGCAAAATACATTCTCAAACATTGGTGAAGTTTTAATACATGAAAAACAATTGCGGCATCTGAGTGATGCCTTTCTACGAACTTTGAACATAACAATGTCTCCCATTCAAGTTGTACTTGGTATAAAGGAAATGTGTATTCTAACTTGGGGATCATCTCTTTCATTTAATAATTCAGCGGGGGAGGTAAATTAGAGAAAGGATAAGAGAGAAAACAGAAAAGAGTTAACCTACAAAGTAGAAAACAGATTTGTGAGGACTACATGTAAATAGCAGTTTTTATGTTGCAGTGTGTATGCCCTTTAGCCTTAAATTCCACAGCAGTGACTGAGCATAAGGAGACCTAGAATCTTATATGAACTCCTAGAAATCATCTCCCCCAGTGCAAGGGCTTGAACTGGAATTGGTTTCTGGGATGCCTTCTAGTACTAACAGCCTAGAAACGTCAGAGCATCTCCTTCTGTCACGTCACAAGTAGCTTTAATTTGTCACATCCCTGGAACACGCCCTGGGCATGCGAGGAAGCAGGCTAGGCAACTAATGCCTAGTTGCTTCCCTCGTTTCACCTTTAAATTAACCTGATCCTCAAGTTCTTCTTCCCCATTCCCACCTCTTCACTTTGCTATTTTCTAGCAATATTTGTCCAGAAGCCTGCATAGATTTGGGTTAGAAACCCTGATATCTAGTGGCTAGAAATAAGATTCACACTGCTTATTGAGGTGTTTTTAAAAATGAGTCATTTGTGCCCCAGAAATCAAGCTCCAGATCAGGCTGTGCACCCCTTCTGAGGACTGTACCATTAGCTGCAACACCTATTATGAAAACTCAGAGTTTATAATAGAGAAGACACTTCTAAAGACAGGAAATAAGGCATAAAGAGACCCTCTTCTGATCTGAAATGCTAACGTTTACACAGACTGATTACTGGGCAGAGTCCTTACAGGAAAATGGAAGCTGTAGGCAGAAGCCTCTGGTTCAAAACCCTATTTGTTTTGATTTATGGGACATAAACTTCTGACCCTTAGAAATGGAAGCAGCACTCCTCATCTGGTGTCTGTTTAAGAAAAATGTTCAAATTTAACAAAAGGAAGAGTCATACTTAACTATTTTCACCAAATCCTGAAAATATTATGCTAATATATGTATACACACATCATATGCAAGATTGAAACCTAATAGAACTCTATTTCACCTCCAGTAACCACTAGTATGATTCTTAACTAATTAGATTCATCAAGCAATCTAAATTGCAAAGAACCCCTAAGTCACTGGTGAAAATATTTCCTTAAGCAGGTTTCATTAGAGAGCCTTAAAAAACTCAAAAGTTAATTTACCTGTTGGGTATGATTAAATTCTGGGGATTACAAATTTTTTTCTTACTTCTTTGAAGTGCAGTGTCATCTTAATTTTCTGTGATGAACTGGTCAAGTTCAAAGAGAATCATTCACAGATCATCTACCCCACCTTTCTTCCCTGACTCTTTTTCTGAGCTCAGGAAACTGCTCTCTTAAATATTTATCTTCCCTTCTAGGTTATTCAACTACTACTAAATAAATATGCGATTTACATTTTTACTATTATTTATTGGAACCTGGTAGAACATTCAAAATAGTTTTCAATGGTTCCACCTTTTTCAAAATTTATTCTAGTCCCTCACATTCTAATCAGGACTTAATTGGGAATTACTTTCCATTTCTAATTAAGTTCTGCTACCTGCATGAAGCTATATGAGAAAATATTTAATTCCCTTTTTTACTTATTTGGTTAACTGAAGTTACTGAAGATAACAACTTCCATTGGTAATGAGATCACTTAAAGTATATTAATAAGTAAAGCTTAGTTTGCGAACTTGCTTCATCGGTAATGTTTAAAATTTATGAAATGTCCACTCTATGGAAGGCACACAAATTATCTCATTTAATTTTCACAACCCTATGAGTCTAGTTCTAATACTTGTCCCTTTTAGATTAAGAAGCCAGCCTTGAGAGACTCAACATTCCCCTGGTGAAGAAACAGTGCATGTTAGAGGCAGTAATAAAAGCGAGGTATACCTAACTCCAAACATATTATTTTTAAACATTACACAATGATGATTCCCATTGCTAAATTCTGTTTCTACAACACTATGCCATAACTGGATTTAGAAATTATATTAAATCCAAGAAAACACATGGTACAGTCTCAGCTGCAATATGAAATGCCTGTTGTCCTTGCTGTAGGAAGTTAAACACTGTGAAGGGGAATGTAGCTGAGGAATAAACCCATTACCCCATGCCCATATTGGATGTCTCCCAATTTTTAAAAGGATGCTGCATAATCCCTCATAAAAATGGCAATTCTAATATGAGTTATAAATCTAATTTCACCACACAGTAATCATGGAAAAGTACCATTAAATATGTTAGTTCTTCTTGAGGAATTATCACTTTTGCACTGATGAAATTGCAGGCTTTTAAAATTGGTAAATAATTATAAAATCCACCTTAAATCTTTTCTGAAAAGAGCTAGGATAGAAAGCATAATTTCTAATATAGGCATGTTATCAAAAGAACACAAAAAAAATTATCTCAGATCTCCTCTGCAGAATATTCTAAGGCAAACAGCTGTCTGACCTTGAAATTTTCAACATTAAACATAAACCATGTATCTTCACCGTTGATTTATAAAAGAGACCTGGTATTTTTTTTTTTTTTTGAGTTACATTTTTAAATATTATATACCACTGGGAAGTGTAACTGGTGATCATGGGTTGCTCAGTGAGCAAAATACCATCCAATAGAATATTTGCATATGTTCTTGAAAAATATACTTAAGAGGGATAGAAAGTAGAAAAGACTTGATGTGGCCGTGACTGCTCTTACAGCGCAAGCACTGGAAACAGCACCTACCCAGTAATGTCAGGACACAGGCAAGTATTGCGATCAGAGCTCCAGTGCTAAGGCCAGCAGGTAGGACATAGGCTTCAGCGTTGCAGGTCTGGGCTATTCCATCTGCATCACAGTCACAGACTCGAATGGTGAGGGTGTTGGTGCTGCTGAGCGAAGGCGACCCGCTGTCCATGATGAAGATGGGCAGATAATACACAGACTGCTCCTGCCTCCGAAAGCCATTCCTCCTGGTGAGAATGGAGGCCGTGTTGTCTGGGAGGAAGACGGCAGAGCTATTAACATGTGATTTCTGGTGGAATCGGTCCTGCCAACTTCATCATACTCAAGTCACTCTATTGAGTTCCTTTGGACAGAGAATCATCCCATTCCATAATAAAAACTAAGTGTCCAGTTGGACATTCAATCAATTAATATGCTAATGATATGCTAAGGCTGCAAAACTGCTCACTATGACATGCACTGACCATCAGGCAGAAGATGCTCCGACCAGTAGGTTAGCTTGCTGCTGGGGTCCAGCAGATGTAGGCTGGACAAGCACTGGAGCCCTTCCTCAGTCCCTCCCCAACCCTGATCCTATACTGGTAGGGTCCCTTGGCTTGACCTGCACCCTCTCACAATCCAGGCTGAAGGACCCTCCCCCTGCCCAACCCAATTGCAGGAATTTCATGCGCCAGACCTCTAGTATTAATATATCCATCATGCTAACCAGTTAAAACCAAAGATGCAGTTGTAAAGTAAAACTGATTTCCAACATGCAACTTTGTAAGAATTACATACAATATATCCTTTTAATTAGCTTAAGTTTCAAACCATACACTTACAGGATAATAAAAATTAACAGGTTAAATATATTAGGAGCATCATCAGATAGCATAAATGAAATTTCAAATACAAATACATTCTTTAACAAATTCCAAACCCATTATAGAAACAAGTGAAATACGCTACTCTAGTTTCATCTGAATTGAGTGTGCATAACTATTCAAGAAAGGAATTATAGTTTTTAACACTCATATTGGTTTGCATTGCTAATAAAACCCATGTATATAAACATTTTGTTAGCAATAACAAATAGGTCATTTGTGATTAATTTATAGTCAATGTTTTAACAATTATAGTAATTATGAAACGTTTAACAGTGATCAATAATTCTGTATCAGAAAACTGATTTCTACACCTGAAATAGATTTGTTTATCTGGTAGCAATTCATGCAGTTAACTTGTCTTAAATAACTAGTTAGGAATTTATGTGATTCTTTAAATTAACAACAATTAATAAAGGAAAAGAAGGAAAACCAGGACCATAGTTTCATCCAGGGCTTCAATATATTGTTCCTTTCCAAGCTTTCAAAAAGATGTTTATCCAGTGTTACTATGAAAGAATAAACAATATTCTAAACAGCAAGCTCCCATGAGCTGCAGAAAGTGTATAACCTGCAATTACAGATATGGCAGGAGTGAAACTTTAATTTTTAGGTTTTACCTGTAGCTTTTTATGTACGCAAATCTTATTTTAAAATGCATGAATTTGATAGGTGTTCATTAAAAAACTATAAGGAGTTGTTGAATATTTCCTTGACAATGTTTGTATACAGTTAACAATAACACATGTGCATGCACACAAGTCTATGTCTTGTTCTACAATCATTCAGATGTTGTAGTATTTGATACGCAAAGTTATTAATTAGTAATCTAAAGCAGCTGATGTCAAATAACATGCTCAAACACACAATTAATTGTGGAGCTCATACTAAAAAGTCCAATATGTAAGACAAGAACCCAGTGTTCCAGAAAGAGGTCATAAAACTCATCATGTGTGTTAAGCGCTTCCTAAGATGGAAGCGATGGAAGAACTAATGTGTTTATCCCTACATGTTCTCCTTCAAGGTCCAGGCGAGGGAGCTCTGGACTTGACCTGGGGAAGTCTTTCAATTGTGTCCTGAAAATCCAGATGTTGCCCCCATTCACGGTGGTCCTGCGAGGAGGACAATTGGGGGAAATCCTCACACTCTTCTTGGGAAGGTCACAGACTCTCTGCCTTGTGCTGGATGAATGGAGGCGCTGAGCACTATCCACACCAACTATGATTAGGTCAGAGAGTCTGGGATTCCTCACATGGAGAATGTTCTGCCTTTCCTGTTACTAAGGGGATATGACAGTGTTGTTGAGCAGCACCGAAGGAATAAGAATAAATTATTTCAGTGAATGTTTGAGGCCAGTTTCTACACTGAAGAACATGGTGGCTTTAGGTAAAAGCACTTATTATGTCCATCTTCTGAGAGCAGGTCCTTTTCGATAAGCCAGGACTTGACTAGTAAGTCCATTTCTACATTCCCCCCCCCCCCTTTTCAAAGTGATTCACACTTTCAATCTGAAATAATTACATTTTCTACATTGTAAATTTGAATGTACACAATAGATAGGTTTTCATGCTTAAAGTCATTACAACTTATACTGTCTTTTTGTCTATAGCTATATATATTTAACCAAACCAGAATTTATTTATAGGTATTTGCAAAAATGTTTCTATAATGACATTTAGGAAAGTGATGTCATTACTTTGGAGCAAAAGGATGGGATTTGGGATGACAGGGAATTCTTTTTATTCTTTTTAATCTTTGCATCAAGAATACATTTTTACTATTTGCACAGATCACTTGTTTTAGGTTAAAAAAAAACAAACCTAATGTTAATATTGAAATTATAAGTCAAAGTTGACTTAGGTTGAAATATGTCAAGTGCAATTAATATTTTCCTGATGTCTCAAGTCATATCTGTGTAGGACATTCCTAATGAAGGCATTTAGCCAGCCCTCAACCCATTAGATCATTTAAAGAGCTTGGTAAACAAATAAGGAAGCAAATGTCTAGAAGAAATGACAGAGAGAGATGGATCTGGCTTCCCCCCTATTTGGATTTAGGCCTAAAATTACTTAAGTAGCAGCTTCTTCATGACAGTAAATCCATAGATAAAAATTACCTTAGGGGCTTATTGCCCTTTAATTAATGTCCTTGCTGGGGAAGGAAAAAAAAGGCCATAATCAGCATTCCTGAGTGAGCCAAAGCACTCACTTCGAGTTTGTAACTGCTGCCTCCATGGTGACCGTGCCAATCCCTTACCTTTGTTATCTTTCAGTGAGAAGTTGTGGTTGTTCATTGAATCAGTGGCTAGGCTGAAATAAAACTGGTGTCCATTGGATGGCTCGTCTTTGTCCACCGCACTGATTTTCTGGATAACCTAGGACAAGGAGGGAAGCATGAGGGCACGGTGTGCAGCACAGAGCAGTTCTGCACCACAGAATAAGCACTGACTTCCTCAGTGAGGTGGTGACTAGGGGCAGACGGACCAACCTGAACCCAGAGAAAAAGGGCTCTGAAAAACAACCATGTTCTTTTCAGAGCTCAGATTTGAACTATCCTCCGTGAACCTCAGAAATGAGCCAACTAGTTATTCCATCCTGAGAAGGATCACAAAACCCTGGACAACACGGATGAGTGGAACAAACCACACTGGGATGAAACTACACTTAATTCTCAGAACTTCAAGGCACTGAGCCCTGCTGTGTAAGGTGGGAAACCGCCCAATCAAGCTTAATAGGCTCGACTCCTCCTTTTTTAAAGGAGGTTAAGCCCTTAACCATTAGCCATGACTTTCACAATGTTTACTTTTCTTCCTGAGGAAATTTTCATCATCCCAATGAAACCAGGATTTGAAAGTTCCTTTAGTATTAGTTTATGCTGCACATCAAAGCATTAGTTGTGCTGAAACATGCTGATTATATTTTATCTTACAGCTGGCAGGATTTCAAAGGCAACCACCACTGGCTCCTTTGAAAGAAATGACAAACCAGAAGCATGGTGCTCAGAAGTCTCTTACCTGCCCCGGCTGGGCATTCTCACACACAGTGGTCTCATAGTCCATGGCGAACTCTGGGGCGTTGTCATTGATGTCCAGGATGGTGATGGTCACGTAGCCTCGTCCTACTTGAGATGGGTTCTCTAATCAAGAGGAAAAGCTTTTGTCACTTATTCTGTATTTCACTCAGTAAAATGGCTTTTACTTATAAAACTCATATTAAAAACAGTTAAAATCAGCTCTAATTATTCACCTATCCTAACACTTTTTTCATCTCTGGCATGGGACTAATAGCAGAGCTGTGGTTGGGACCAAGGTGGTACTAGATATAGGAGTATTTTGAAATCTATAAAGGATTTTACTTAAAGATACAAATGTTGTAAAAAAAACCAAAAAACAATTCTAATAAGAAAATGGTCAGGCCTCAAATAAATCTGGAATCATAACATTATAGACTTTAAAGGGAGCTACAGAAACTCTGATCCAATGTCATATAACTGGATGTATATAGAAATAAAGATAGTATACCTGTATATTTTTTAGCCCCTGGTAAGTACTGCTGAAAATATGTTCTATGAACCATGTATTTTATTATTATTTGATGCTAGAGCTCATAATTATTATGAAGATAAATATATATTCTATATGTACATAAAACAATGCATTATGGTTATGCACTGTTCTTCGAATGCTTTTCTTATTAGGACTAAAATGAGTTCATTATCACAATATACAAATCTGGCATTTTAGGTAGAGAGACCAATTTACTCATTTTGTAAGCTATTTGATCAACTCCATATCAGCATAAATGCAGCACATGAAATATGACCACAAGACAAGAAGCTCTGTGAGGATGATTCAGGCCCACTATTTGATAGTTATATCTTTTCATCAACTTTGTAAGTATTAGCATTTAAACTAATGAATATAAAATATATTTCAAGCTTTTGTTCAACTAAAATAAGCACCTAATATAACTGGAGTTGAAATTAAACTTCATGACATCCCCTTGTCCTTCATCCTAATTCAGTTTTAAACCTTTCAACTTACGGCTCTCCATCGCCAGGACTGTGATATTATGAACAGCATTTGTCTCCCGATCCAAAGATTTGGCCGTTGTAATCACTCCACTGTTGGCATCAATGTTGAAATATCTCTCCAAGTCTGTGTTTCTGTCAATTGAATACCTAATTGGAAAAAAAAAAAACCTTCAACATTTATGTTTATAATTTACTACATGTATTTCACTAAGTGCATAACCAGTCACCAAGTCCTGTTAACTCCATGATCTGTCATATTTACAATAAATGCATGCTCAGTTTAAACTTCACTGATGTTACACTGGATTCTTATCCTGTATATCAGTCTTTTGGCTTTTCTTTTACTACAAAATAAACACCACTGTACAGTAATGGCTTTGAATATGCCATTATAAACTTCAAATAAGTCTTTATTATCATTATGATGTTGGCTCCTAAAAACTATTTACAATCAATGTAGCAGCCCTGATCATAGTTATAGATCTCTCTACAATGAACACTATGTGGGTGAAACATATACAGACATCTTTCTCATTCATTTATACTTAGTAACATCTCTTGTATCGATAACACCAGCCTGATCTTAACCGTGTTTTTTTAGTATGTGTATCTTATTCAAGGGTCTTGACCAGGGTACCATAGATATATTTCAAAGGAAAACCCATCAAATTGAATGAATATTTTGGTGTATAGAGACTTTTTACAAAATATACTATCCAAACATTAGTGGAAAGTAATTCTTATTGTATATAAGTTTTTTTGTTTTTTGTTTGTTTTTTTCCATACATAAAATCCACTCTGTGCTCACGAATGACTGGATTCTACTCATATTCTTTCTAGTTGGGTGAATTAAGAGCTCTCATATAAAAAGTAAACAGCCAGGAACAGTTTGGCTCAGTGGATAGAGCATCGGCCTGCAGACTGAAAGGTCCCGGGTTCGATTCCGGTCAAGGGCATGTATCTTGGTTGCGGGCACATCTCCAGTAGGGGGGGTGCAAGAGGCAGCTGATGGATGATTCTCTCTCATCGATGTTTCTAACTCTCTATCCCTCTCTCTCTTCCTCTCTGTGAAAAATCAATAAAATATATAATAAATAAATAAATAGTAAACAGACAAATGCATACCCAACTTAGACTCTAAGCCAGTATTTTACATTTACATAGTACTTCTCAACTATTATTAAATAGTATCATCTACTTCAAGTCTACTGTATTACAAAATACAAGACACATAAAAAGAACAGAGGAGGCAGCAGAAAATATTAGAAAATAAAATTAACCACAAAGCAGCAAGTATTATTGTCCTTGTGTTGGAGTAGGTATTTTGGTGTTGATAATCTGAGGAAGTTATTCTTTTAGGGCTTCTATGTTCTCAATGGCATGTGAGACCAGAGAAGAAGGTGTTTTGAGGAGGAAAGAAGTGATTTTTTTTTTTAGAATGCGCACACACACACACACACACACACACACACACACGTATATTGGGATTTGTGGGCATAATGTGAAAACAGTCTTTCTGTTTATCTGTCTTGCTCTGTTCTTATGCATGTATTCAAAAGTGCATAAAAGCAAAGGGTTGGATTTAACCACTTCTGAATAATGGAAGGAGAGAGGGGTCAGAAAGAGAGGAGCATATGCACCAGAGTGACAATAATAAAGGTCCGTGGTAGATAAGTTGATAAGAGAGAACTGAATCAATAACAGGCAGATATTGAGAAGATGTTAGTAGCATCACAAGCTTACTGGTCTTTAACAGAATGCAAAATTGCTGTGGAGGGAGTTGCTGGGCAGAGAGAGAGAGACATTTACCTGTTTTATTTCCCACAGAGCTAAAGTCAATGACCAAATCATTTGCCTCTATTATTGACTGCCTCAAAGTTTTCAGAATTAGAATTTAAAAAATTGAGAATTTAATATGTTAAATGTCTTCAACTTCTATTCACCTCATAGAAAAATCCCTAATGTTTTGGAGAACCAGTTATCACCTACACTTCTCTGTATTTTGAAGAAGAATGGACACCAAAGTCTCTATCATCCTAATAGTAATCATTCCTATATCATAAACTATGTAGCTATGTATCTTTTAATAGCTATCATTCTCACATAGGCCTCCCTAAATAGCAGATATATATATATATATATATATATTTGGCAACATGTGGATTATTCTGACATTCTTATCTCGTGTCTCCCATTCATTATCCATGCAATCAACAATTATTCGTAAGCACCTGCATGTGACCCTCTATATCAGGAAATAAAGTTTATTAACATTTTTAAATACAAAAAAATTACAATAAATATTTAGGAGGAAACCAACACCTTGCTATTCTGGAGTCTGATGAAGGAAGTCAGGGCAGATGTAGGAAGAGAATGAGGTATTGGCTTGAGAAGAGAGGGAAGACCTCAGCAAGAATAAGGAGTACAACCTGCCTGGAACAGTTGCTGTGGTGAATATGTCTTCATCACAACTTGGGATCACCCAGTAGTACAGGGGCTCCCGTTTCCTACCAACCCCTCTGCCCATGAAAAGGCTAGTGTTTATGTATGAGGCATTGGCTAATGTATAAAGTTACCCTGAGAAAGTTTACTATGTCTTAACCAAAAGAAATACAGGCACCTTTTAGAGAGGAGATAAATGTCTCTGAATTAGAATGGGGGAGGAAGTAACCGAGCCAAAGAGAAGACAGGCCCTGAGAAATTTGGGGGAGTGCCCTCTGCAGCTCTGTGCCCACTGGCCTAGGAACAGAGAAATGCAGTTGCCTGAGTCAATGAGAGGCTGAACAGGAGAGGGAATGGAGTTTCTCTAATTGTGAACCAAACTTATTAGTTTCTGAAAATCACAGTCTCAATCACTTGGCTGCTTCATCCTATGTTACATGACCAATCAAGAAGTAGCTCCCCCCCCCCTTTTTTTTTTTCAGCAACAGCACTGAAAGCATTGGCCTATCTCTTTACTGCACAGACAGATCAAAACCTTGGTATCCAGCCTCAATCCTTTTCCTCAATCTTGCAGACACCTTCAACATCTTCAATTCAAGCTAAATATCTAAAAACAGGTTTATCAATCTTTCCCTGAAACTGTCCCTCCTTCTAAACTTTCTCATCTTCATAAAGTGCTGAGAATTTGGAACACAGTTTACTTTTGGTTCCTAATCCTCAAAAAACTATGCAAGGCCATGTGTGACAGAGACATGCCATCCATTTGCCTTTCATTCTTATTAACAGAACCCTGCTTTTGCTGGAGGTAGCCAGGTGCCTGCCTGAAAATCAGCATTGGCTGGTCTCCCTTGTAGGTCTGGTGTCCTTATATCTAAGTTTTAGCAAATAAAATACAAAAGAAAGTTATTGCATTGGGCATCATGGAATACCTCCTTAAAAGATAGAGGTATGAGTTGCTAATTCAGCTGGCACGTGATTTCTGCCCCTTCTCCTCTATCTCACCTGGGACATGAACACAAAGGGAACATGTCCAAAAGCCATCTGGTAAATATGAGGTGATGAGTGCCTGGTGTAAGAAGCCAAGGCCCTTGATGACATTGTACTGCCAAATTATCAGTCCTTGAGAGCAGAGCTCCAGACATCTCATTAGTAAGTCATTAGTGTTAAGCTCTGTTGCTACTAGCCAAGCACAATTTCTAACTAAGGCAAGCAGGCATCATTATTGCTGTATTTCAGTCCTGGACTCCAAAGTCTCACAGTTGGTTGCTGAAGGAGCCAAGATTCAGAAGCATGTCTGCCTGAGTCATCATTCCAGTACACACCTCAACACCTAAAAATGAGCGTGGAGTCCCTGCCACCTACAATTCCAGGATCCATATTCTTTGTGTTTTTCCCACTGCTCTCCGATCTAAAATTCTAGGCCAGCCAAACCAATGTATTACTTGATGAATAAAAATATCCTCTGTATCTCCATTTCTGTGCCTTTCCTCACACAGCTACTCCTGGCAATTATTTTAGTCCTACATATCCTTGAGGAAAATCACCTAGTGTTAAAGCGGCAAGCCCTTCCAAGCACGTCATAAATCATGCCTCCTCTTGTACTTGGGGCCTCTCCAAGAAAGACCCCACAAGTGTGGAGGGCTGCGAGGGGTTGTCTTAGCCTCTCCTCCCACTCAAAATGCAACTTCCAGCATCCTTGGAGCCTGTGCATCTGAGACTTAAATGCCATTGCAGAAGACTGCTCTGCTGTCTCAAGTCAGAGATCCTCAGTCCACAAGGGTTTGGAGCTCTGCCCGAGGAGATGAACAAGAGGTGCAGAATGTGGCTGATTAGGTTGGGATGAAAATGAAATGTAAGCCATACATCATTTGGTGAAAATGGATCAGAAAGCAGAAACATTCAATCCTAAAAGCTAACACCTTTTAATTTTTGCCAACCCAGTATGGCTTACTTTACAGAGATTTCTTTATCCCCAACTCATCCCCCTTCCCAAACTATCAATTTGCTATTAAACTACATCACTGTTAATTTTGAAAAGTATCACCAAAAATAATGCAGAGTGATGTGATATGAATAAGAAACCACAGGATTAGAAGTCAAAAGATCCCGGGATATTGGTGCCAGGGTGACCTGACTCCTTGTGGGAACTACCAGTCACTTACTCTGGGCTCAAATTCATTAATCAGTAAAGTAAGGGAGCTAAAATAGAAATCTCCAAAATCTTTATAAGTGTCTGACCTTTGAAACTGTCCTACATTGCCACATAGTCACTGCATATTTTTGGCACTGTAATTTCCCAGGATCAAACCAGAAATTAGAGCACTTTGTATAGGGAAATCAAGGACATATGTATCACAAATTGGTAAGAAAAAAAAAGAACAATTTTTAATCCTATCAAAATCTCTAAAGTTTTCAGTGAGCCATTCTGTTTCAAAAACACAACAAATAAATATAATTCAAAATTGCCCCTCCCTGGTTTGTAATAAAGAATACAAACTGTTGCTAAAATTCTTCAAAGCTTAAGGTATTGAACAATGGGGAGATCACAGTTAGATATCCCTGTTCCTTAGATCCTGCTACTTTCGTTTTTTAAATAATTATTTTATTCGATTTACTTAAACTAAAAAAATGAAACCAAAAACAATTCACAAGTCATGCATAAAATCAGTATGTATGATCTGTGGACACCCCTATGTGATCCTTGA